TGTTACCTGGAAATAATAGTCTCAACGTATGACCTTATCATCATCGTCTTAATTCCAAATCCAGTTACATGTTAATACCTCGATTGTTCTTGTACATCCACAATATTTTCAGCTTTCTCTCACCGTTGTATCTACGACAATGATATTTACCGACACAACTCAGCATGTAGAACTGCCAAAACGAAAGTCTTTTTGTCTTGAATTCATTAGAAAATTCTTAATAATATTCTAAAACAAGATGCAAAATAATCCGCTTTTGAAAATTTCGGCAGAGTCTAAGTTCCAGGATTCAGAGTCTGTTTTCGATCATAAAGATTCAGTAATGAATAACAAAATAGATTTAGGTAAATTTCAATGTATATGGTCATCATTACTCTCTCTCTCTCTCTCTCTCTCTCTCTCTCTCTCTCTCTCTCTCTCTCTCTCTCTCTCTCTCTCTCTCTCTCTGGGAGAAATTTGTAAACGCACTCGAATGCACATACGTATTCAACTTTGTTCAAAAATCCTTTAAAATAAAAAAAAAACAATTAAAGGGGAAAATATATACATGTCGTCAGTTCTTTATGTCAATTTACTGACACCAAAAAACATTATATCGGAGTCTGTTAACTCGATATTTACTGACCCCAAAAAACTTCATATCAGGTTGCGTTACCACTTTACTTGCTTATAAATAAAGGAAGAAGTATATAACACTTTATATTTTGGGATGTTTTAAGAAATATTTTTTTACGTAAATGAGCAATTATGGACCTGTCAAGAGATGCGAAAAAGATATATAAAATGTTACTGGTGATAACATTAATTATCAAAAATAAAATTCACCTTTAAATCAGATCACCGCTCCAGTGGCCTAAGTAGTTAAAGCGTTCGCCTCGAATGAATGAGGTCGTGGGTTTGAACCCCGTCCGAGACATAAAAAAGATTTATAGAAATTGTACCAGCAGCTGCCTCGATTTATGCTCAGCTTTAAGAGTTTAGTATTAGGACTAGTCAGCCTTGGGTCAGGATGTGTGACATAGTGCTACAAGTCTGCGGCCCCAGTGCTAGACATCACTCTAGACTGTCACACTGCAGACATCATAGCAATGTGACTAAAAATGTTTAAGCTACATTAAAAATCTAAATCACACACGCATAAATCAAAGCAGGCAAATAGTTCCATTATTTTACATAAGAAGTTTTTATACTATATTATTATGACTATTGTTGTTGTTATTATTATTATTATTGTTATTATTATTGTTAGTAGTAGTAGTAGTAGTAGTAGTAGTAGTAGTAGTAGTAGTAGTAGTAGTAACAACTGATATTATTGGGCATCAGGCTATTGAGACCTATCGAATTTTAAATGAATTAGCCCTCCATAGTTTCCTTTATAAAATGAATTAGCCCTCCATAGTTTCCTTTATAAAATGAATTAGCCCTCCATAGTTTCCTTTATAAAATGAATTAGCCCTCCATAGTTTCCTTTATAAAATGAATTAGCCCTCCATAGTTTCCTTTTATAAAATGATTTAGCCCTCCATAGTTTCCTTTATAAAATGATTTAGCCCTCCATAGTTTCCTTATGAAATGAATTAGCCCTCAATAATTTCCTTTATAAAATGAATTAGCCCTCCATAGTTTCCTTTATAAAATGAATTAGCCCTCCATAGTTTCCTTTATAAAATGAATTAGCCCTCCATAGTTTCCTTTATAAAATGAATTAGCCCTCCATAGTTTCCTTTATAAAATGAATTAGCCTTCCATAGTTTCCTTTATAAAATGAATTAGCCCTCCATAGCTTCCTTTATAAAATGAATTAGCCCTCCATAGTTTCCTTTATAAAATGAATTAGCCCTCCATAGTTTCCTTTATAAAATGAATTAGCCCTCCATAGTTTCCTTTATAAAATGAATTAGCTTTCCATAATTTCCTTTATAAAATGAATTAGCCCTCCATAATTTCCTTTATAAAATGAATTAGCCCTCCATAATTTCCTTTATAAAATGAATTAGCCCTCCATAATTTCCTTTATAAAATGAATTAGCCCTCCTTAATTTCCTTTATAAAAGATTTGTACATCCTTTATAACAACGGACTTCGACATCTGGCAATTGAAATCAGAGAGGATTTTAAAAAAAAAAAACATTAGCCAACCATAGTTTCCTTTATAAATAATTCCAAATATTCAGCAAATATATAAATAAATTTTATACGAGAATTATATATTAAGTGTGAGGGTTGCATACAGTTAAAAATAAATTTAAAAAGTGTGATTGCCGAACTACTCGGAGATGGGTACAATAAGTGCGTGCGTGCGCGCGTGCGTGTGTGACTTGGATTTTTAACGTAGCTTTAACACTTGTTCAGTCATATCGCTGCGATGTCTGCAGTGCGGCAGTTTGCAGTGATATCTAGCACTGGGACATCATGGCGCAGACATGTGGCATCATGCCCCGCCCATTCACATTATTCCGACACCAGGCCAACCAGTCCTAGCATTAAACACTTAATGCTTGAGCGCCAAGCGAGGCAGCTGCTAGAACAATTTTTAATAGTTTTTGGTATGACTCGGCTAGGGTTCGAACCTGCGACCTCCCACATCCGAGACGGGTGCTCTAGCCATTTAGGCCATCGGAGAGATGTATGTTGGAGATTTACCGTAAAGTAATAGACACGCATATGTGCGTGGTTCAACAGCACGTTAGCTTAGTCATGACAATATAGGGCCGACTAGAAGTTAAGACCTAACGATATTAAGGTAAAATTACCAGCAACAATGCTTTAGGAGTATAAACCCTAACAAGCAGATATAAACATGAAATTTGACAAGCTAAAAGTTTAGAGGTCAAGATGCTAAAATTATTTTAAATGTGTAAAGTGTGAGATAAAGATAAACTACACGTTATTAAAATAAAGGTCAACATTATACAGAACCCTTCACTTTCTTTATCGTTACTGTTAGCACGGAACGTAAAAGTAGTACGTGCGGTATCTATCATTTACATGTAAGATGTATAGAGAAGGTACACTCGCACAAGTAGCCTTAACTGAAAATCACAAATTTCATTTATATGAATTTCTTGCCAAAAGGTATTACAGATTTACTCTATGGATAAATGTTCATTCGTGTCCCAGACCGAGTAATTCCAAAGACTTATAAAAATGGTACTACCTGCTGCCTTCCTAGGCACTCAACATTAGGAGGTTAGTATTAGGACTGGTCAGCCTCGTTTCAGGATAATGTGACTGGGTGGGATATCATGCTACATGTCGGCGGCATGATGCCCCAGTGCTATACATTACTATAAACTGCCAAAAGCATACACGTAGCGATATGACTTAATTTTTAAAGCCAAGTTAAAAAGTTAAAAATCCAAATCACACACACACACACATATATATATATACACGTACACATACGCGCGCGCGCCTTGGTGGATCGATCGGATATGTCAGTGCTTTGCCCTAGCGAGATCTATTGGATTTAATGAGTGGCCTCAATTAGTAGGTTATGCCAAGTAACGAATAGCGTGTAACAGCGGTACAATGTACATCGGCCAAAATTGGTGGAAGCTATTTAGTTCAAAAGGATACTGACTACGTTTAACATCGATAGTATGATTACGTACCCGAGAGAAGCGATCTTTATTTGAGGGAAAGGATATGTTTGCGCAAATACGGATAGGCAGTTGAATATTGCTTTTTTATGAGCCCACTGAGACTGTGTTGTGTGCTCCCTTTGTCTTGGTTATGTAGGAACAGGGTTCAAGTTTGAACAACTTGACTTGGATTAAATGCAAAGGCTTGCTGCTGCATATAATAAAATTCTTTAAAGACCCGAAACACAGAAATACCTGATCGAGCCTTCTCAAGGTATATATGTTAACATATCTGAGTCTTGGCTAGCGAAGATGTTGAAAAAGTATTGAACGCGTTAGGATGGGAATCTCACAGGGTCCCAAGTGGTTTTTTTTAATAACAATCTGGGTGAAAGAAAGAGATGTTTGTTAATAACTGGTAATTTAGGTCAAGATCAAGATGACAAATTTGGGTTGCTTAGCAACGACTGCACCAGTCAAGTGTGAAACTGACAACTCTGAACATCAATCGCCTCGTACGTAATGAGAATTGCATGTTCAGAGACTGCGATTCTCACAATGCCCTCACGAGATACCTACCTCTTTTCACTATAGGAAGGGCTAGTAGATAAAGCCACCAAAATTATAAGTGAACAAAACAAGAGGCCGATTATGCTTCGGTTGTTAAGGTAATAATAAATAATTCTAATGTAATCTAGTTTATATATTCCTCCACTTGACCCAGGTCCATGATTATATACCCATCTACTTGACCTAGGTAGCAATTACCATTTTCTTGAAATACACTTTCAAATTAATGGGAAATTTCCTTTCTTGAAGTTTGTAGGGTCAAAATCAAGACTATTTTTTTAACTCAAACTGAAATAAACATGTTTACATTTAACTCAGACCGAAGTAAACATGTTTACATTTAACTCAAACTAAAGTGAACATGTTTACATTTAATTCAAACAAACGTAAACATGTTTATATTTCACTCAAACTGAAGTAAACATGTTAATATTTAATAATGATCTGACTATGTAATCTATACTCAGAAAGTAGTATTAGCTAAGTATTATGTTGTTTACAAAATAATATAAATGGTCAGGTACACGATTACTTTTATTTTGGACAAAGGTCAAGTAAAATATACAGATATACATGAAATATAATCATGGAAAAAAAATAAAAAACACAAAATTAAATATACATAATAATAGTATAATCTTATAATTGTGCTTATCTTAAATGTTACTGATAGAACTCTTCCAGTATTTCAATATAAGCTCGTATTGACACTCAAAAGATGGAAAATTATTTGACTTGTTTAAGATCGATAAGTATCAATGTAAGTTCCTTCAATCTATGTGTGTACCTGTATACAATACCAGTATCAATTAAGTACATCAGATATGAAAATATAACCGCTCCGGTGGCCTACTGGTTATAGTGGTTAGAGCGTCCGCCTCGGATGCAGGAGGTCGTGGGTTCGATCCATGGTCGAGTCATACCAAAGACTTACAAAAACGGTACTAACAGATGCCTCTCTTGACGCTCATCATTAAGAGGTTAGTGTTAGGACTGGTCGACCTGATGTCAGGATAATGTGACTGGGTGGGACATCATGTAATATGTCTGCGGTATGATGCCCCAGTGCTAGACATCAATATAAATTGCCACACTGCAGACATCGTAGCGATATGACTGAGAAATTGTTAAAGCTACGTTAAAAATTTTACTCATATCACAGATATGAAAAAAGAAGCCAAAATATGGTTTTAAGAGGTTTATTGGACCTGTATAAAACATTATTCTCCAAGATGTACAGGAAACAATGTAATCTAACTCTGCTGAATGCTGAAAGGTTGGACTTTTTGGCTGTTATTTTGTACATTGACAGCTGCCTGTAACAGAAAACAGAAGTACTTGTTTCACATTAAAATTCAATAGTGCATCATGTGCATAGTTGCAGTTTTGTTTTCTGTCGTGAATGAAATAGATATCACACATTTTATTCACTGGTTATTCTATCAGACAGGATTTCAGGTAACAGAAAGCAAATGATAAAATTATCTCCTAAAGTATCAATGATGGAACAATGTAAACTATGTTTGATTTTATCTGATTTTAAAACCGTCAAGTTTCATTAACATCTGCTTTCTTAAAGTTGATAATACAATTAGAACACCTGAAAGTTTAATAATATGTTTAACGCTCTTGGATTGATAACGGTACACATTGTATGTTTACATGTTGTGCGTGTGTATATCTGACGGCAGAGCAAAATCTCTTACCAGTCTTTCACCTGAAATAAAATGGGTGGATTTGCAACTATTACTTGTCTTCTCCGCTCCCCTTTACACCACTACTCCCTCCCCTCTTCCTCTGGTTAATTTGCCCAGAAATAGTTTCCCAATTTAAGTTAAGTAAATAAAATATTATCCATCCTTTCACTGGAGATAATATGTACGGATCTGTGAAAAAACATTGTTACCTGCCCGCTCCACTCCCCCCACTCCCCCTTGCTCACTCCACGTCTTTTGACACAGCCAATCCTTCTTGTATTTTTACCCAGAAATAGTATCCCAAATCAACATTCACATGTATAAATATAAATATGTAACATCTGAATTTCCACTTCAGTAATTAGCTTAAACAGTTTTACTGGTGTTATTCTTTAACCTGATATACAGCATGGGTGGTTTGGAAAACAAACCAAACACGATCTTTAAACACACTTATTTCACTTACTTGTAAAACAGTACCCCCTTCACACACACACACACACACACACACACACACACACACACACACACACACACACATACGCGCGCGCGCGCGCGAAACTAAGATATGAAATGGAATTTAAAAAAATACATTATAGTTTATGTATAATTTGTGTGTGGAAGTTTGTCATTTTCTCTGTTGTTGTTTGTGAAAGCGTGGATAAAATGCGGACATACCCATTTCTCCAAGAGGAACGTCATATATGTGATCCCCAACACAAGTCAGACCAGAAGTGCAGGGACAAGCAACGAATACCGTTCCATTTGGCTTTCCGGATCCGTAGCGTACATAACAACCTTGAATAAAAATTATGACCACCTTTTAAATACAATAAAATCGGCACGTGCCAAATTGATGACTAAGTTCTGAAATGTTGAAAGAACTGATGTTCAAGATGCGATTGAAATACAAAGTCAGACAGGTACCAATAAATAATCAAATTCTGACAGAAGAAAAAAAACCGATCGGATTAAAATTAGATCTCCGCTGTTATCTACGAAAATCTGACAGCCACCGCTTAGGGTTCATGTTCTGGTATCCTGCGTTATTACCAAAATCGCTATTTTATCAACTAATCAGATGAAGTCTTATATCTTCGAGTTTGGAGACTGAGCAGTGTATATGAAGAGCATGAACGAGTACTGAAAGATTTGATTCCTTTTCAGCTTTTTGAAAACTATTTCCATTGGCAAATTCAAAGGTCACCAGAGCATGACCCTTAAGCGGTGGTCGTCAGATTTTGGCGTAGGACAGCGGAGATCTGATTTTAGGCAAACTGAAGAAAAAAAAAACATCAAACTTAGTCGGTTTGTGGGGTATAAAAAGACCACCACAGATCCAAATCTGGTTTAATTTAAAAGAGTCGTTGGAAAGTTTCGAAATAGAAACGTAGTTTGTGGTGTACCGGATGCACATATGAAGGGATGGACGAACGAATAGACATGGGTCCCATTATATCCCTCTTCCATGGAATGTTATGGAAGTACAATACAAGCCAGGGGTCTTTGCTTGACCGAGCGGTGTCAAAACCCTGGTTCGGTTTGCGCTAGAAGTCATAAGTTTATCCTAAATTTCCAAAGACTTCTATACAACTTCAGTTTTAAGTTAGAAAGGCCGACGTGTCCATTCTATACACAAATTTTACTCTAATCAATGCAGACCACATTATTCACAACTTGCCAAATATCTATCAACCGCACATCTGCACAGTTTCTCTTCATCATTCCGTACCGTTAGCAGTTCACGCCGTAGAATCTCCACAACTATCCCCCAACACAGGTATTTTTTTTAACTACGCCACCTTAAGCAAGTCAATCTACGGTTTCAATGCAGATCACGCCAATCTAACTGCCCCACGTTTGCCACCATGGTGATATAAACGGTATCTGCCGAGTCCATTCTTTATTCAATTGTGTAATTTACCGGTTTCCTACCGTAAATGCTGCCACTGCTGTCACAACACCAATATACACCACTAGATTTTATTAAGGACTACGGGGACCATCATGCGGTTTGAATCTGAATTAGCTACTCATTGAACAAGGCATAATGGAAACCCACTAGCACTTTCTCTTCGTGACGTTTGCTCCTAGTAATTGGCTAATTATTTCAAGCTAAGGAATATTTCCCATTGCACCGAATTCCAATAATCAAACAAGTAATCACACAAACCTAAGAATTGCTTAAACGGAGTGTTATAACTAAATGCGCATCTTAATTTTATTCCAAATTATCGTTGACTCAACACAAGAATTTTGGTATATCACCAGAACACGGGTAAACAAAGGCACATCAACACTTTCAGTGTTGGACTTAATTTGAATTTCTACTAAGATTTATTCAGAACATTACTGATTAGGACTTGTGTGTGTAATTCTATGATTATTATATACTCATTTTTTTCTCCGTTAACTTTACATTGTCAGAATCGTTTAGTATTTAGTGATATTGAACACTTGCATATTGCAATCCTCGCGCTTGATGCAATAGCGCGCGCGGTGCGTTATGAAGTGAAAAGGTCGGTACGTGGAGTTATATGCGCATGAATACTATTATTGTGTATTGAAGGAACCTACGATTGTAAACTTTATTATTTCAATAATAAAATAATAAATTTTATTAAATATATTTGGTTGTGAATTTTATTATTAAATCTTTGGTAATGAAAAAATGAGCATATAATAAAAAGGTTACTGCATTTGAATGCAAAAATATGAAATCGTTTTGTTTTTTTTCGGATGAATATACTGTACTCCCAAGGTCGTGCAGTAAAGCCATCCGAAAAACTCGTTCATATTTTCCAATATAAATTCAGTAACCTATAATTCTTTAGAATTTAATTCGCAATACTCTTTAAGTTCCAGCTTTACATTTTCATTTTGTATTTTATAGAGAGTAAAGTGTTTGTTGAATTTTACAGTTTGTTGCTTTTCACTCTTTACCATTACTTGTTTTAAGACCATGGAGTCCTAATACACAGGTGATAACTACACTAAGATTAGTCCAGGAATTGAGTATATCTAGACGGAAGCCTCATCAACAGTACTATTCAAACTTATGTCCACAGCCGGTACATTCAAGATTTTTACTTCTATTGTATTTCGTAGGGATACTTTAAGTAAGTGTCTATTTACTGGATCCATCGACGCCCATCTTCTGACAATGTGCTCCAATAAGCTCTCTACGGCGGCGACCTATCGGTCTGACGTCACTGACGCAACACTCGTCTGCTGCGCAGTCGGCCCCGGATTGGCACGTCTGCCTCGTTCTGATGCTTGGACCTTGGCAAGATCCTAGTAATGTAAAGCATGTATACGGTTGGGTCAATAGAATGATGATGGTCAACATTCGGGTATTTATTTGCATATAATATTTGAGGGTCTATTACCATTCTTTAACATGAGGTATTAGAGCTATAGTTTGTTAGTTGAGAAATTAGCAGATGATACTTGATCGACATTCTTTAGTATGACTATATGAACGTGTATGCTTTCTCGGCCATTAGTACTAGTGTGAGTCAACGTTTTGTATCTACTCACAACTCTAACATTAGACGTGTTCTGTTTGGGAAGATACATTTTGCGACAAACGAAATATTAATGCATGCAGTGGTGACAGATTTGATATTCAAAAAAAGTAATACACGCCTACACAATATGACATGAAATGTAAGTGCAATACACACCTACACAATATCAATGAGGAATAAGTGCAATAAACACCTAAACAACAAGACTCAGGAGTAAGTGAAATACATACCTACACAATAGGAAAGATGAGTAAGTAGTATACACCAACACAATAGAATGATAAGTAGTACACTTCTACACAAAAGAACTGATGAGTATGTAGTGCACACCTACACAATCGGATTCAGGAATAAGTGTAATACACACCTACACAAAAGGACAGTGGAGTAAGTAGTACACACATACTTAATAGGACAGGGGACTAAGCAGTACACACCTACACAATTGGAAATGGGACTAAGCAGTACACACCCATACAATAGTACAGTGGACTAAGCAGTACACACCTACACAATTGGAAATGGGACTAAGCAGTTCACACCTTTACAATAGGACAGGGGAGTAAGTAGTACACACCTACACAATAGACTGATGATAGTAGTACATACCTACACAATAAGCAAGATAAGTAGTACACACCTACACAATAAACCTGATGAGTAAGTAGTACACACCTACACAATAAGCCTGAT